GATTTTTGATTTTTCAATATTTTAAGTTTTCCATTTTTCGATGTTTCAGTTTTTGGACTTCAATATTTCGATGCTTCAATTTTTCGATACTTTGTTTAATTACTCGTTTTTTTGATGTTTGAATTCCTCGATTTCCCAATTTTTCAGGTTTTTTAAGTTTTAAATTTCTCTACATTCCAATTTTCGGAATAAAATTCGTCTTCTTCATGCCAGGCAGTTTCCTGCAACGACTGTTTGAAGCTTGCAGGCCAAAAATCAGGATCTTTCTCCTTCGATCCTTTTGATTTCGGTTCTCCTGCTGCTGTCTTCAGCACGCACAAAATTCAAAAGAAGTACTGTCTGTTTCTTCTTTTCTTAAATCCTGCAGCAATAGAACATTGCATTAAGATAAAAAACGTCGTGCCAGGTAGCTATTATTTCCTGCGACGAGATATTTATTATACACATCCTTGCGTTTATTAAAAAGTACTTGCAGGAAAAAATGAGGGTTTTTGTACCTTACATCCTGTATTAAAAATTAATACAGAAGCGATTCCTGCAACGCCGTCTTCAGCAGGACCACTACTCCATCACAAACATCAAAAATCGCTTCAGCAGGAATCGAATAAAGTTCGTCTTCTTCATGCCAGGCAGTTTCCTGTAACGACTATTTGAAGCTTGCAGGCCGAAAATCAGAATCTTTCTCCTTCGGTTCTTTTGATTTCGGTTCTCCTGCTGCCGTCTTCAGCACGCGCAAAAATCAAAAGTTTCTTCTTTCCTTAAATCCTGCAGCAATAGAACTTTGCATTAAGATAAAAATATTCATGCCAAGTAGCTATTATTTCTTGCAACCTGATATTTATTATACAGATCCATGCGTTCACTAAAAAGTACTTGCAGGAAAAAATGAGGGTTTTTGTACCTTACATCCTGCATTAAAAATGAATACAGAAGCGATTCCTGCAACGCCGTCTTCAGAAGGACCACTACTCCATCACAAGCATCAAAAATCGCTTCAGCAGGAATCTTAATAAAATTCGCCTTCTTCATACCTGGCAGTTTCCTGCATCGACTGTTTGAAGCTTGCACAAAAATCAAAGGCTTTTCCTGCGCCAGCCACCTGCAGCAGGACCTCCTCGACCCGGCCAACATCATCGATATTGTTTTTCAGTTCAGTTTTGGGATTTTTCAGTTTTTTAATTCTTCGATTTTTCAATTTTTCGGTATTTTAGTTTTGGGTTTTTTGAATTTCACGGTTTTTCAATTCCTCGATGTTTCAAATTTTCGATTTGTCGATTTTTTATTTTTCGATTTCTCAATTTTCCCATATTTAAGTTTTAATTAATTTCCCGATTTTTCGATTTTTTAGTTTTCCGATTTCTCCATTTTTCATTTCCCAGTTTCTCAATTTTTCAAGTTTTCTGTTTTTTGTATTTTTTATTTTAAAATTTTTCAAGTTTTCCATTTCTCGAATTTTCGACTTGACGGTTTTTCAACTTTTCCATTTCTGGATTTTTCAATTTTTCGTTTTATCAATTTTTCGATTTTGGGACTTTTCGATATTTCGATACTTCAATTTTTCGTTACTTTGTTTCGATTACTCGTTTTTTTGATGTTTCGATTTCAGTTTTTAGATTTCTTGACTGTGTTTGCGAGTTTTAAACTTTTCGATTTCTCGATCTTTAGACTTTTAGATTTTTCGATCTTTTGATTTTCAGATTTCTGAATTTTTCGATTTCTCGATCACTCGATTTTTCAGTTTTTCGTTATTTTTCGATTTTTCAGGTTTTTGATTTTACAGTTCGATTTTTATATTTGCAGGAACAAATGAAGGTCTTTGTACCTTAAAAATGAATGCAGAAGCGATTCCTGCAACGACGTCTCCATCACAAGCATCAAAAATCGCTTCAGCAGGAATCTTAATAAAATTCGTCTTCTTCATGCAAGGCAGTTTCCTGCAACGACTGTTTGAAGCTTGCAGGCCGAAAATCAGGATCTTTCTCCTTCGATCCTTGTGATTTCGGTTCTCCTGCTGCTGTCTTCGTCACGCACAAAAATCAAAAGAAGTACTATCTGTTTCTTCTTTCCTTAAATCCTGCAGCAATAGAACTTTTCATTAAAATACAAATCTTCACGCCATGTAGCTATTATTTCCTGCAACGAGATATTTATTATACACATCCATGCGTTTACTAAAACGTACTTGCAGGAAAAAATGAGGGTCTTTGTACCTTACATCCTGCACTAAAAATGAATGCAGAAGCGATTCCTGCAACGATGTCTCCATCACAAGCATCAAAAATCGCTTCAGCAGGAATCTTAATAAAATTCGTCTGTTTGAAGCTTGCGACACAAAAATCAGAGCTTTCTCCTGCTCCAGGCACCTGCAGCAGGACCTCCTCGACCCGGCCAACATCATCGATATTGTTTTTCAGTTCAGTGGGTGAAGGTTACGGTACAGTGATGTAGGACGGAATGTTTGGTCGGGGGGAAAACAGCTGGGAGCGCGGCGCGTACAAATATCGCCCGCCTCCCCTCGCCGCCCCTCGGAGCTTTCATTCAGTCATACCACGAACCGGCGAGCGTAGAATGTGCATAAGCCGCTTCGACACTCTCTTAGCACTTTTACGCCGTCATCAGCAGTAAAACTCAAAATGTCTTTAAATTTGTCGTTCTTCCGCGAAAAAAACTGAGAGTCGGGGGCGGGGGTCGTAAACGGGTTAATAAAGGTTTAATGGGCTCCTGTAGCATAAATTTTAGTGTATGAATCGATCCGCGTGAAGAGGCTACTTCATTACGGACTGCGCCACCATGCACTCGTAAACAGTCCTGGGGCTCGCTGCGCTCGCTGTCTATTATTATTGTGTCGTCGAGATAAAATTCGTCTAATGCTCGCGTGGTTTTCGGTGTTGAAACACAATCGTCGTCGGAATTTGCCGAGTCGTGAAAGAATACCCTTAACCCTAATTCCTGGAAGCCGTCGACCTCAAATCCCAAAAAGGAAACAATAAGCCAACTCCGAGTAACAGTGAACTGCCATTAGAGCATCTATGAGGAAGTGCTCTTTGCCGATCCCTCTTTTAAAATACACACGGGAGATCGTCCAGTGCTGCCAACATCCATAAGGTGTTCGTCGTCGGCGCCGCCTAAGAGTGGCCCGACTTGGCGTCTCGCAACTTCACCTAAGTGTGTTTTAAAAGCTTTTCTGACATCTTGACCGAAGCGGACACTTTCAGACATGGAATGGCTTTCATTCCGGCTCGCCTTGTCTCGCCGAACTTGGCCTAAGTGACAGCTCGCCTCTAATATCGTCCTGCTATAAAATTTAACAGCTTCGAGCTCTGACACGTATTTGATTTTAGCAAACTTCCTAATTTAATAGCCGGTCATTTGTACGCGTCGCGGGGCGGGGGCTGCCCGAGCCGGAACGGGAGACGGGGAGGCGGTGATGGTTTGATTATACTTTCCGGGATGCGATCATTAACGAAGTTGTCTGGAACGAGTGCCGGGCCGTGCGCTCAGCTAACAGCGACGATTTGTTTTGTTTTTTAATAAGATTTAGTAAAGTCCAAAAGTGAGAGGCGGCACTGTTTGTCATATTTCTGTCAGTCCCCACTTTTAAAACCGGCGTAATACTTCAAGGCACTCTGGGTTGGATCGGGCGCTGCGGGATAAACAGGGCACCTGTTAGTTTGAATAAGAGGCCCTTGAGTGGCCGAGTCTCTGGTCCCTTTGGAAGGAATCAATCCCGGTCGTTAATATAACGAGGTGCCGGCATCGTCAGAAGCGAGCTCCCCTTGCTACCAGGTGTCAATTTGTTCTAATGGATGGTGGATGAAAAACGCCACGGCTTGGAATCTCCTCTGCTCCTATAACGACCTCTCATTAAAACTACCGCGCCATTATATTAAAAAAAACTGTCAACCGAAATGAAAGCTTTATTACGTCTAATCGAACTTTATTACCCTATACATGATTTAGCCCGAAAATCCCTAACTAGTGCCAAATTACGGGACGCTCTCGAGCTTTGTTAAAAACTTTTATGTTCGCGTCTTAAATGACGATACTTTTTCGTAGCTTTTGCTCGAATGAGGCACGCATTGCTATCTAAGGATATATTTAAAATGAGGGATGAGAGCTTGTTAGAGTTTCGCACGATTCGTTACCTCCAAAGGCCGCCAGCCGACAGTTCGAAAGGCCATTTACTAACAACTCCTGAATTTATTTACTGTAATTGTGCTCCATTCTGATTGCAACGTTTATTGAAGCTTAATTTAACTCTAACTTGTTAGAGGGAAGTTTTTTCGCATTTTTTAAGCTTAATTTCGCTGACGGATTTATTTACACACTACGATTTCGTCCAATTAAGGCGATACCATGCTTTAACTTCCTTCCATTACCTCACAAGAAGCGCAAATGAAATAAGAGCAGAGTAATTTATTGCCGGCTTGTTGCAACTTCGCAAATTAACTCACTCACGACTGCAGCTTATAACAAATCTCCCGTTCGAGTTTTAATTGAAAAAGCGTCGTCGGACACGTCTCGCTCGCCGCGCGAGCCGCATATATAGCTTTTCCAAAAATCCGCCCCCGCATCATTTTAATTATCGTCGACTGCATCCACTGTCTTCCTCGTTTAAGCTACTGGTAAGCCGTGCGCCGTAATCCGCCCCTGCTTCTCCAGAGGAGCGTTCAAATAAAAGACGGTCGTTATATTTTCCTGTTTACTCAGCTCTAATCCTGCCTCGTTAACGTTCCAGCCGCTGTTTACCGAACACGAAACAAATACAATAATTGTCAACAAAATCGACACATCCAATTAAGCAAATTGAACCGTTCCGTCAGATTAATTGCGGTAATCCGTGGGGGCCGAATCGAAAACAGAGCAGTCTTGGCCCGAACGATTAGGTACGCATCGTTGTTGCATGTGGGTTTTCGTAATGCCGGATTGATAAGCGGGCGATATCGGTAATGAGCCCGCATACGGCCGGTCATCCTCAGCTAAATAACTCGCTTTGTCAGTTGCAGGAACGACGGGACCACGTGCCATGGGGTGTTTGGAGGTCGTCTGAGCGGCGGCCACTGACTGATTATGCACAGCACGGACAATGGCACGGGTAGGTATTTTACACATTTTCACACCGGTAGATAGAGCGGGCTTCGGCTAAATCGATGCTTGCGAGTCGGGGTTACTCTAGGTTTTGTATCGATTCACGACAATCGGAATCTCTAAGGTGCGAGTTGGTCGATCAAGGTTCCTACTCACCTGGAAACCGGGAGGGTATTTTGACCACTAGACCATCAGGTGGTGTATATAATTTTAATTTTATTTCTGTCCGGATTTTTATTAGACAGATAATCTCTGAAACTACTGGAACAATAGTTGTCATTTCTTGTGCATGTTAGGAATATGGTGTAGATGGTAAAACGCTAACAAAATTTTGCCAATTATCTCCACCAACAATAGGATGACGTCGTCCCCAAAATTTACATTAGTGAAAGTTATTTAAATTTTATAAAATAAAATGTTGCTGCACCTCTGGTTTATGAGTTCGTGTTGAGTTTTTACCATAAACATCCAGATTTTTTGGGAAAAAAATAAAAATTGTGTAGCAACATATTGCAATTTAACTTTGACAAAAAGATACTTATGAGCGATTTTTCAGATTTTTTATTTTTCAATTTTCCTTCGATTTTTCAATTTTTCGGTATTTCAGTTTTGGGATTTTTCAATTTTCCAAATTTTCGATTTGTCGATTTTTGTATTTTTTGATTTCCCAATTTTCCGATATTTAAGTTTCACGATTTTCCAATTTTTCAATTTTTGACATTGCTAAATTTTCGATTTTTCGATTTCTCCATTAATCAGTTTCTCGATTTTTCGACTTTGAGATTTTTCGATTTTTTGGTTTTCCATTTTTAATTTCTCAGTTTTTCAATTTTTCAATTTTTCCATGTTTGAGTTTTGGCACTTCAATATTTCGATGCTTCAATTTTTCGATACTTTGTTTCAATTATTCGTTTTTTCGATGTTTGGATTCCTCGATTTTTCGATTCTTCAGGATTTTGGTATTTTATGTTTCGGCTTTTTCAGTTTTAGATTCTCTGGTTTCCAATTTTAAATTTTTAATTTTTAGATTTCTTGAATACTTGATTTTTAAACTTTTCGATTTCTCCATTTTTCGACTTTTAGGTTTTTCGATTTTTCAAGTTTCCGATTTCTTGATTATTCGACTTCTCGATTTTTCAATTTTTCAGTGTTTGTAATTCTTCAGTTTTGAGATTTTTGAGATTTCTGGTCTTTCTATTTTTCGACTTGACTTCTCGTTTAGATTTTCCAATTTTTCAATAGTTCAGTTTTAGGATTTTTTATTTTTCGCTTCTTAAAGTTTTCAACTTTTCAAATTTTTCATTTTCAGTTTTTTAAGTTTTCTTCGATTTTTCGACTTGCGGATCTTTTAAATTTTCGATTTCTCAATTTTTCAATTTTTCAAAGTTTCAGTTTTGGGATTTTTCAATATTTCCATGCTCCAATTTTTCGATAATTCGTAATACATTTCTAGATTTTCAATTTTAAGTTTTGTTAATTCATTGATTATTTTTCGATTTCTCGATTTTTCGATTTTCAGATTATTCGATTTTTTTACTTTTCCCATTTCTCGAATTTTCGACTTCCCGATTTCCCCTTATTTTACAATTTAATTTTTCAATTTTTCGATTTCTCGATTTTTCGATATTTCATTTCCTTGATTTTTCGACTTTCAGTTTTTCCGATTTTTGGATTTTCCCATTTCTCGACTTCTTTATTTGCAATTCTTCAGTTTTTTTCGTTTTTCAGGTTTCTGAGTTTTCAATTTTTTTATCCTTCAATTTTTCTCCGATTTTTCAATTTTCAAAATTTTCGTTTCCTCAATTTCTCGATTTTTCCAATTTTCAATTTCTTTATTTTCCGATTTCTCAATTTTTCGATACTTCATTTTCACGATTTTCCAATTTTTCAATTTTTGTCACTTCTAGGTTTTCGATTTGTCCATTTACATATTCATTAATCAATTTTTCGGTTTTTCAACTTTTCGATTTCTGGATTTTTTGACTTTTAGAGATTTTTCGATTCTTTGATTTTCCGATTTCTCTATTTTCGATTTCTCGATTTTTCAGGTTTTCAATTTTTCGATTTTTCAGATTTTTTATTTTAAACTTTTTCAAGGTTTTTTGTTTTCAATTTTTCGACTCGACGATTTTTCAACTTCTCGATTTCTCGATTTTTCAACTTTTCGATTTATCAATTGTTCCATGTTTCAGTTTTGGGATTTTCCATTATTTCGATTCTTCAAATTTTTTTGATACTTTTCTCGATTATTCGACTTCTCGATTTCTCTATATTTTGCAATTTTTGCAATTCTTCAGTTTTTCGGTTTTCAAGTTTTTGATTTTTCAATTTTTTAAATTTTCGATTTTTCAACGTCACAATTTTCAGATTTTCCGATTTTTAGATTTTCCAATTTTTCGATATTTCAGAGTTTTGGGATTTATTAATATTTCGTTTCTTCAATGTCTCTATTTTTAAAATTTTCGAAGTATCAATTTTTTTTATTTTTCGATTTCTCAATTTACCGATATTTAAGTTTCAAGATTTCCCAATTTTTCAATTTTTGGCATTTCTAAATTTTCGATTTTTCGATTTCCCCACTGATCAATTTCTCGATTTTTTGACTTTTAGATCTATCAATTTTTCGACTTTTCAGACTTTTGTTTTTTCAAATTTTTCAAGTTTTCCGTTTTTCGGTTTTTCGACTGGACGGTTTGTCAACTTTTCGATTTTTTGATTTTTCAATTTTTCGATTCTTCAATTTTGTGATATTTAATTTTTCGATTTTTTAAATTTTCGATTTCTCAATTTCCCGATTTTTCAGTTTTTCAATTTTCGATGTTTCGAAATTTTCATTTTTTTAGATTTCTTGGTTAATTTATTGTTTTGGGAATTTTAAACTTTCCGATTTCTCGATTTTTCGACTTTAAAATTTTTGTTTTTTCAATTTTTTCGAGTTTTCCGTTTTTCGATTTTTCAACTGGACGGTTTTTCGACTTTTAGATTAATCGATTTTTCAATTTTTTGATGTTTCAGTTTTGGAATTTTTCAATATTTCAATGCTTTAATTTTTCGATACTTCGTTTCGATTTTTTGTTTTTTTGAAGTTTCGATTTCTCGATTTTTCAATTTTTTGATATTTTATTTTTTTTTTTTAAATTTTCGATTTTTTGATTTCTCGATTTTTTTATTTTCAATTTTTGACGTCTCTAATTTTCAAATTTTAGAGATCTTGATTAATTGATTTTGATTTTCCGATTTTTAGATTTTCCAATTTTTCGATATTTCAGAGTTTTGGGATTTATTAATATTTCGTTTCTTCAATGTCTCTATTTTTAAAATTTTCGAAGTATCAATTTTTTTTATTTTTCGATTTCTCAATTTACCGATATTTAAGTTTCAAGATTTCCCAATTTTTCAATTTTTGGCATTTCTAAATTTTCGATTTTTCGATTTCCCCACTGATCAATTTCTCGATTTTTTGACTTTTAGATCTATCAATTTTTCGACTTTTCAGACTTTTGTTTTTTCAAATTTTTCAAGTTTTCCGTTTTTCGGTTTTTCGACTGGACGGTTTGTCAACTTTTCGATTTTTTGATTTTTCAATTTTTCGATTCTTCAATTTTGTGATATTTAATTTTTCGATTTTTTAAATTTTCGATTTCTCAATTTCCCGATTTTTCAGTTTTTCAATTTTCGATGTTTCGAAATTTTCATTTTTTTAGATTTCTTGGTTAATTTATTGTTTTGGGAATTTTAAACTTTCCGATTTCTCGATTTTTCGACTTTAAAATTTTTGTTTTTTCAATTTTTTCGAGTTTTCCGTTTTTCGATTTTTCAACTGGACGGTTTTTCGACTTTTAGATTAATCGATTTTTCAATTTTTTGATGTTTCAGTTTTGGAATTTTTCAATATTTCAATGCTTTAATTTTTCGATACTTCGTTTCGATTTTTTGTTTTTTTGAAGTTTCGATTTCTCGATTTTTCAATTTTTTGATATTTTATTTTTTTTTTTAAATTTTCGATTTTTTGATTTCTCGATTTTTTTATTTTCAATTTTTGACGTCTCTAATTTTCAAATTTTAGAGATCTTGATTAATTGATTTTGCGATTTTTAAATTTTTTCGATTTCTCGAAATTTCGACTTGATTACTCGATTTTTCGACTTCCCGATTTCTCCATTTTTTTAGTTTTTGAATTCAATTTTTCAATCCTTCGATTTTTCAGGCTTTCGATTTTTCAGTTTTTTAAATTTTCGATTTTTTCGATTTCTCGATATTTAAAAATTTGTGGCATTTCTAAATTTTCGATTTTTCTATTTTTCCATTTCTCGATTTATCGAATTCTCAGTTTTTCAATTCTTGGATTTTTCAATTTTTAGCATCCCTAAATTTTCGATTTTTAGATTTTTCAACTTTTCGATTTCTTGATTTTTCGACATTTAGATTTAGCGAATTTTTGATTTTTCAGTTTTTTAAATTTTCGATTTTTTTTGATTTCTCGATATTTTAATTTGTGGCATTTCTAAATTTTCGGTTTTTCTATTTTTCGATTTCTCGATGTTTCAAATTCTCGGTTTTTCAATTCTTGGATTTTTCAATTTTTAGCATTTCTAAGTTTTCTATTTTTCGATTTTTCAACTTTTCCAATTTATGATTTTTCGATATTTAGATTTATCGAATTTTTGATTTTGTTATTTCTCGATTTTTTTACTTTTAGATTTGTCTTTTTCAGTTTTTCCAATTCCTCAATTATCCAGTTTTTCGATTTTTCGATTTCTCGATTTTTCACTTCAATTTCTCAATTTTATGCATTTCTAAATTTTCGATTTTTCGATCTTTCGATGAATCGATTTTTTACTTTTTCAACTTTTCGATTTTTTGGATTTTCGATTTCTCAAAAGTTTTCAGTTTTTCGATTTTTCTACTTTTCGATTTCTCGATTTTCAATTTTTTGGTCTTTTAAATTTTAGATTTTTCGATTTCTCGATTTTTCAATGATTCAATTTCTCTATTTTGCAGATTTTGGCGTTTCCAAATTTTCAATTTTTAGATTCCTTGATTAATTGATTTTCCGATTTTTAAACTTTCCAATTTCTTGATTTTTCGATTTTTCGATGTTTTGATTTTCCCTTTTCTCAAATTTTCGATTTCTCGATTTCCCGATTTTTCAGTTTTTCAATTATTAATGGTTCGAAATTTTAATTTTTTTAGATTTCTTGATTAATTTATTGATTTTGGGGTTTTTAAACTTTTCGATTTTCGACTTCTCGATTTTTTCGATTTTTCGACTTCCCGATTTCTCGAATTTTAGTTGTTGAATTCAATTTTTCAATCCTTCGATTTTTCAGGCTTTCGATTTTTCAGTTTTTTAAATTTTCGATTTTTTCGATTTCTCGATATTTTAATTTGTAGCATTTCTAAATTTTCGGTTTTTCCATTTTTCGATTTCTCGATTTTTCAAATTCTCGGCTTTTCAATTCTTGGATTTTTCAATTTTTAGCATTTCCAAATTTTCGATTTTTCGAGTTTTCAACTTTCCGAATTCTTGATTTTTCGACATTTAGATTTAGCGAATTTTTGATTTTGTCATTTCTCGATTTTTTGACTTTTAGATTTGCGTCTTTTTAGTGTTCCAATTCGTCAATTTTCCAGGATTTCGATTTTTGAATTTTTCACTTCTTCAATTTATAAATTTTTGGCGTTTGTAAATTTTCAATTTTTCGATTCTCGATTAATCGATTTTTCACTTTATCAACTTTTCGATTTTTAGATTTTTCGATTTTTTGGTTTTTCCGATTTCTCCAAAGTTTTCGGTTGTTCGACTTTTCTACTTTTCGATTTCTCGATTATTCAATTTTTCGATTTCTCGATTTTTCAATGATTAAATTTTTCTATTTTTCAATTTTTGGCGTTTCTAAATTTTCAATTTTTAGATTCCTTGATTAATTGATTTTTAGATTTTCCCTTTTCTCAATTTTTCGGCTTCTCGATTTTTCTATTTTTCAGTTTTTGCAATACTTCAATTTTTCGGTTTTTCAAGATTTTGATTTTCTCATTTTCCCATTTCTGATTTTTTTTTAATTTTTTGACTTGGCAATGTTTAGACTTTTCGATTTCTAGATTTTCCAATTTTTCGATATTTTAGTTTTGGGATTTCTCAATAATTTGATTGTTCAATTTTAAAATTTTTCGTTTCGATTTTTCGATTTTTTACTTTTTCAAATTTGAGATTTTTTTATTACTCGATTTTTCAATTCCTTGATTTTTTATTTTCCAATTTTTTTAATATTTCGGTTTGTAGATTTTTCGATTTTTTTTTTAATTAGAACATGTCAAAAATTTGTGTTTGAAGAATCAAATTTTACAAAAATGTCTTGTCCAAAATTGTTTTAAAGTAGATGAGGCACATTTTGGGAACTTTTATTAACGTCACACATGCTACTTATTTTTTAATAGCAACCATAGTTTCTACATATTTGAAATAGTTTTTTTTTTACTTCTTGAGTTCACCGGGCGACTTGTCACTTTATGTTTTCTCGACGTTTCATGATCTCCAGACTACGAAAAAAGTGGTCTGCCGTTTCCGTCTGCCTGTCTGTATCGATTTTGATTGGACAGATAATCTCCGAAACTACCGAACCGATTGTTGTCATATAGATATATGCCAACCAAAATATGGCTAATCATTCCCACCACCAATGGGATGACCTTATCTCCAAAATTTACAATAATAAATTTGATTTTAGTTTTGCAAAATAAGATGTAGAGACTCATGGTGAGCTTTCATCCTAGACATACAGATTTTTGGAAAAACATCAAAATTGTGTAACAACTGTTGGCAAACGTTTTAATGTTAATCAACCAATGGTTATCGTTATTCCAAATGTATTGGTTTATTCCTCCGAAAAAATTGATGGCGTCATCTCAAAACTTTTGACAATTTTCCACGACCCACTTGACCTAGAAATATTTATACACAGTGAATATAGTGTTGCCTATCTTAAATGTCAAAAGTGTAGTTCTAATTAGAAGGCAAATTGTGTCAAAATTTGTCATTGAACTCGAACCATCTTGCTTGATCACCCATCACTGAAAATTTAACCAAAAATGTCGAAAAAGCGCATCGCTTTTCAGAGAACGCAAACGAAGAGCAAGCCGTCTCGAAGGGCGCGCTTCTGTTTACACACCCAAATAATCGTCGCCGTCTGCGCGTCCCTAAAAACGTCCAGACCGAGCCCGGCTCGAGTTTGATTGTTGTAATTATTTGGAGCCCTCGGCGGAACAACCAATCACGGTGCAGAACAATCTCGTCCCAGCGCAATTAGCAGAGTTCCTTATTAATTAATGCAAGCCGCTTACAGACAGTTTACTTAAGATTCGGCCGGATATGAGCTCAGCAATGGAACGAGGGTGCTAGGGGTTGGAAGGGGTAACGTAATCAAGCCGCCCCGGCTAGATAATTATTTCGATAAATTTAATATGATCCATGCACATACGTAAGTGGTTACCTTAATTGTTATTGTTAATTTCCTGGTGGCAGCTAACCTAATGCACGTACCGGAGTCTGCTTGATTAGACTTTGTTGAATATTTGATCGGAAGCTGGGGAGATCGGATCGGGTTTGGATCGGAGGGGCGATTCCGGGCGGATTCGGATAAAATGTGGAGGGTGGATGGAGTGGACAAGGTTTTAGAGGTTGTTGTAAAAATTGTTTAGTTGGGGAGTGATGGTAAGTGGACTGCTGAAGCCTTAAATGTTTCAGGTTGTGATCAGACCAAGGGGGTAATTATATTAACATTCAAGTTTATTCAACGTTTACAATTTTACTACAATGTAAAAGATTAACAAAATAGGAGTAAATTACAAATACTTTTAATTATTTTGGTAAATATAAACTTTGAAAGTAAGCTCATTTTGCTTTCCTAAAAAACTTTGGATTTGTTCCGAACTAAAAAAGCAACAGTCGCGCAAATTATTCAGTAAAATTTTCCATTCAGTGTGCTTAGAACACGCGTTGGTTACAGTCATTTTATTGACTTTGTTATTATTATCAATTATTTCTATTTTATAACTGAACATATCTTTAAATTCTCCCATCAGCTGCACAACCCAGTAATACTTGTCGTCTTTGTGGAAAAGTATTAAGTTGAAAAAGTGACTTCCAAATTTCAGAAGGTAGCATTTAACAGAGTGTAAATTATCGTTAGGTAGTTTGGAACGCAAAGCAATTATTCTTTCACGAAATTTATTTTGATGAAAGGAATGGACAGTTCTTTGTTGATGATTGTTTTGTGGTTGGAGGCTTGAAATATTTACAGAAATGGTATTCAAAGTAATTAATAGATCGTGATGTTTTTCCAGAAAATGCAAATCTAAATCCTTATACAGACCGTTCCAGGTGCAGTTGGTATAGTCTTGAATGGGACAAATTTGAGTTCCATATTGGCAAAGACCGTGGTGCATTTTTATTTCGTGGAGTGATGATGAAAAGGAACAACCGTTTTTAGCATTTCGGCAGGGAAACTGTAGCAGGTTAGCCAATTTATTCACATTTAGTTTGTCCATATCATCATAGTGCTCCGCATCATAGCAGGTTCGATTTCGACAACTGGGACATATTATTACATTACATGAAAACCGCAAGGCCTCTGGCAAGAAGTATTCATTGCAATAGGAACATCTGAATAAATTTAACAACCCTTTCGTAACAGTCTCAGCATTAGAAGTTGGTCCAGTTTTTGTTTCAACGTGAATTTCTCCTATAACTTTTGATTCCTTTTTGTCGGACTCTATTAGAGACTCCAATGAGATTTTCTCAATAATACGTATTTCATGACCGACATCATGTCTGATTGCAAGTTCTCTGTTACCATAAGTAAACTTCACAACATATGGAGCGAATTTTCGAAATTTTTCATTTTCTTTGCGGGCTATAAAAAACTCAATAACTTTTTCTTGAGGAAAATATTTTCTTTTGACGACAAGAAGCTGATTGTCGTACTCCAAAAGATTGTACACTCCTTTTGAAGTTGATAAATCGATATCAAATGTGTCATTTTTTAGAAAAACGTCACAATGCTTCTCCTGACAATGTTTCATCATATTGAGTTTCGATGTTTTGGCTTCACACTTGGTAAAATTTTTGGTTATACATTCAATTATCACATAAGGGCAGTTGGCCTCGTGCTGTGGAATTTTCTCCGGCTTTAACTTTTCCCAGCAACCCTCGCTTTGATAACGACAGGAAAATTCCAGATCTTGAGCGACGATCTCGTACGCTTTATTTTGTCTTAAATCGGTAGCTGCCATTTTCGGTGAACACCTTCCACAGATATTGTCGTTACTTAGCGAAATATAAACCGGAAAGTACGACAGATAATTCGTGCACACAGAACACTTCAGTTGTTCTATCCAATCGCGGGTCTGCAAGGCGCTGAAATCCATTTGGACGTCTAAAAATTTCAATGATTTGCTGAAATTTCAAAAATAAAAACTCACCAAACGAATCAACTACGTATGAAGTAGAACGGTATTTTACACAATCTGTCGTAGAATACAAGTTTCACAAGTTAAAAACCACTTTATCAGTTTATCTACAGCTGATAATCGCCGGAAAATAAATTACGATATGTGATAAGTACAGTTTCATAGTTATTTTTTATTTAAAAATATTGATTCAATTTATTTCAAAATTACCATCTGCGTAGAAAAGATTAGTAGATCGTGCGTCCGCTTGTGTTACCAAATCGTTCAAAGGACTCCGAATTTCCGAAGAAGGTATGTAGTTTAAAATTTCATTTTTGAAAAAGTTGTCCAAAAATTCTCAAAAAATTCAAGGATATAGATCCCGACGTGCCCTTCCAAAAATACAGCGTGTTTATGGTCACGTAGCAACTTTTCCGAAAGATTAAGTAACAAATGCGAATTTTTGAAAATTTTAAAAAACGAGACCTGAAGTCGCCATTTTAAATATGTTTTCAGTTTCTTGTTGTGAAGAGAATTTATATTAAGAAGAAAAAAAAGAATTCAAAACATAAGCCCCGCCCACCCGCCCTGTCTCAATTGTGACGATTGTTTTTATTCGTCGTGAGTCGGGGGGCAAAGCTTAATTGCAAAATCCTTGTTAAGTAATCAAAGAAAACTATATGCATTAAGTAAAAATTAAAGCCAAAAATTAAAACCCGCCCACCCGCCCTGGTCTCACTTGTGGTGAATTTTTCATTGGTTGTCAGATCGAGAGGCGGAGCACAATTGCAAAATCCGTATTTCCTTACAAAAATGTACTATTTTAAACCTGTTTGAGTATCCTATTTGTGAAAAGAAGACTACGTACATTAAGAAAAATAAAATCTCAAAATATAAGCTAATTCCAAAAATAAAGCGTATTTGGGATCACCGAGCAATATTTTCGAAACAACCGATTTTCCGATTTTTAAACTTCCCGGTTTCTTGATTTTTCGATTTTCTGATTTTCCTTTTTCTCGATTTTTCTGTTTTTCAGTTTTTCCAATTCTTCAATTTTTCAATTTTTCGATTTTTTAATTTCTCAATTTTTCAGTTCTTCAATTTCTCAATTTTTGGCATTTCAAAAATTTCGATTTTTTGGTTTTTCGATTTCTCCACAGTTTTCGGTTTTTCGATTTTTCTACTTTTTGAATTCTCGATTTTTCAATGATTAAATTTTTCTATTTTTCAATTTTTGGCGTTTCTAAATTTTCAGTTTTTAGGGCGCGTGGGCGGGGTTTTGTATTTTGTATTTTTTTAATTAATTTTTTGTAATCAATTTATTTTCTAGTAAATTTGTTGAGAAATGTGGGGGACAAAATTTATCATTTTAAACATGTTTCCAGTTTCTTGTTGTGAAAAGAATGTATATTAAGAAGAAAAAAAGAAGACAAAACATAAGCCCCGCCCACCCGCCCTGTCTCAATTGTGGTGATTGTTTTCATTCGCCGTGAGCCGAGGGGCAAAGCTTAACTGCAAAATCCTTGTTAAGTAATCAAAGAAAACTATATGCATTAAGCAAAAATTAAAGCCAAAAATTAAACCCCGCCCCCCCGCGCTGGTCTCAATTGTGGTGAATTTTTCATTGGTTGTCAGATCGAGAGGCGGAGCACAATTGCAAAATCCGTATTTCATTACAAATATGTACTATTTTAACCCTGTTTGAGTATCCTATTTGTGAAAAAAAGATTACGTACATTAAGAAAAATAAAATCTCAAAATATAAGCTGATTCCAAAAATAAAGCGTATTTGGGATCACCGAGCAATATTTTCGAAAAATCCGATTTTCCGATTTTTAAACTTCCCAATTTCTTGATTTTTCGTTTTTTTTGATTTGCCTTTTCTCAATTTTTCGGCTTCTCGATTTTTCTGTTTTTTAGTTTTTGGAAATCTTCAATTTTTCGATTTTTCAGGTTTTTGATTTTTCCATTTTTCTAATTTAGCGAATTTTTTATTTTGTCATTTATCGGTCTAAGACTTTTAGATTTCTCTTTTTCAGTTTTTCCAATTCTTCAATTTTCCAGTTTTTCGATTTTTTAATTTCTAAATTTTTCACTTCTTCAATTTCTCAATTTTTGGCATTTCTAAATTTTTAATTTTTTGGTTTTTCGATTTCTCCACAGTTTTCGGTTTTTCGATTTTTCTACTTTTTGAATTCTCGATTTTTCAATGATTAAATTTTTCTATTTTTCAATTTTTGGCTTTTCTAAATTTCCAATTTTTAGGGCGGGTGGGCGGGGTTTTGGATTTTGTATTTTTTTAATTAATTTTTTGTAATAAATTTATTTTCTAGTAAATTTATTGAGAAATGTGGGGGACAAAATTTATTATTTTAAACATGTTTTCAGTTTCTTGTTGTGTAAGTGGACTGCTGAAACCTTAAATGTTTCAGGTTGTGATCAGTCCAAGGGGGTAATTATATTAACATTCATGTTTATTCAACGTTTACAATTTTACTACAATGTAAAAGATTAACAAAATAGGAGTAAATTACAAATACTTTTAATTATTTTGGTAAATATAAACTTTAAAAGTAAGCTCATTTTGCTTTCCTAAAAAACTTTGGATTTGTTCCGAACTAAAGAAGCAACAGTCGCGCAAATTATTCAACAAAATTTTCTTTTCAGTGTGCTTAGAACACGCATTGGTGACAGTCATTTTATTGACTTTGTTATTATTATCAATTATTTCTATCTCATATCTAAACATATCTTTAAATTCTCCCATCATCTGCACAACCCAGTAATATTTGTCGCCTGTGTGGAAAAATATTAAGTTGAAAAAATGCGTTCCAAATTTCATAAGGTAACATTTAACCAAATGTACATCGCCGCTACATAAATTGTGCTCCCTAAAACCCCTACGATCACGTTGATGAAATCCCATATCTCTAGGATAAATATGAGAATTATTGTTTCGTGGGAGGCTTGAAATAATTACGGAAATGTCATTCGAAGTAATTAATATATCGTGATGATTTTTCCGGAAATGCGAATCCAAATCTTTATAGAGACCATTCCAGGTGCACTTGGTATAGTCCTGAATGGGACAGCTTTGACTTCCATATTGGCAAAGGTCTTGATGGTTTTTTATTTCTTGGGGTGATGATGTAAAAGAACAACCGTTTTCAACATTGTGGCAGGGAAACTTTACCAAATTAGCCACTGTGTCCAAGTTTAAAACCGTAGCATCTCTGCGGGTTCGACAATTGGAACATTGTAAAGTACTTGACCCCGTATTGGGTACTGGCAATAGGTATCTATTACAACCAGAGCAACGGAATAAATTTAACAACTCTTTCGTAATAGTTTCCGCATCAAAGATCGAACTTGTTTGTGTTGTCATGAAAATTTCTGCTACAAGTTTCGATGTCTTTTGGTCATCCTGTATTAAAGGTTCCAGGGAGATTTTCTCAACCGGTATTGGAGCGTTAGCACCATGTCTGATTGTAAGTTCTCTGTTGACACAAGTAAACTTCAAAACATACGGAATAAATGCGAAGTCTTTTTGATTTTCTTTGCCTGCCATAAAAAAGGCAAACCTTTTTTCGTCCGGGTGGTATTTTCTTTTGATAATATGAAGCTGATTGTTATGTTCCAAAAGATTGTAAACAACTTGTGAGCCTGATAGATCTATATCAAATTTGCCATTTGTCAGAAAAATTTCCGAATGCTTTTCATGGCAGTGTTTCGTCATATTAGGTTTTGATACTTGCACTTCACACTTGGTAAAACTTTTGGTTACACACTCAGTTGTCATATAAGGGCAGTTGGCCTCGTGCTGTGGAATTTTCTCCGGCTTTAACTTTTCCCAGCAACCCTCGCTTTGGTAACGACAGGAAAATTCCAGATCTTGAGCGACGATCTCATACACTTTATTTTGTCTTAAATAGGCAGCTGCCATTTTCGACGAACACCTTCCACAGATATTGTCGTTAGTTGCCGAAATATAAACCGGAAAGTACGACAGATAATTCGTGCACACAGAACACTTTAGTTGCTCTATCCAATCGCGGGTTTGCAAGGCGCTGAAATCCATTTGGGAGTCTAAAAATTTCAATGATTTGCTGAAATTTCAAAAATAAAAACTCACCAGATGAATCAAGCACGTATGAAGTAGAACGGAATTTTATACAATCTGTCGTAAAATACAAGTTTCACAAGTTAAAACCCACTTTATCGGTTTATCTACAGCTAATAATCCCCGGAACATAAATTACGATATGTGATAAGTACATAGTTTCAGAGTTATTTTTTATTTAAAACGCTTGATTCAATTTATTTCAAAATTACCATCTGCGTAGAAAAGATAAGTAGATCGTGCGTCCGCTTGTGTTACCAAATCGTTCAAAGGACTCCGAATTTCCCAAGCTTAAAATTTCATTTTTGAAAAAGTTGTCTAAAAATTCTCAAAAAATTCAAAGATATAGATCGCGACGTGCCCTTCCAATAAATGCGAATTTTTGAAAATTTCTAAAAAACGAGACTTGAAGTCACCATTTTAAACATGTTTTCAATTTCTTGTTGTGAAGAGAAGACTATGTTACATTAAGAACTTAAGAAGAAAAAAAAAGGAGGCAAAACATAAGCCCCGCCCACCCACCCCGATTCCAATTGTAAGGAATTTTTCATTGGTTGACAGACCTACTAAAATAATTAAATTCCGCCCTCTGCCTCACAATGTTTTTTCTGAATATACGTAATCTTCTTTTCGCGACAACATAAATTTAATGACTTTTTTCTTGACATATATTGCTTTCTTTTAAAAACGTGTTTCATGTGGTAGATTCTTGTAGAGACATAAGCACTTTGCATTTAAGCTCCGCCCCTCAGCTCACGACGAATAAAACAAGTCGACACAATTAGGATCATCTTTTGTATTTTTTTTTTTTTTAATATATGCAAAGAAACTTATTTTCTAGCAAATTTGTTGAGAAATGTGGGGCACAAAATGTATCATTTTAAACATGTTTTCAGTTTCTTGTTGTGAAAAGAATGTATATTAAGAAGAAAAAGAAGAAGGCAAAATATAAGCTCCGCCCACCCGCCCTGTCTCAATTGTGACGACTGTTTTCGTTCGTCGTGAGCCGGAGGGCAAAGCTTAATTGCAAAATCCTTGTTAAGTAATCAAAGAAAACTATATGTATTAAGTAAAAATTAAAGCCAAAAATTAAACCCCGCCCACCCGCCCTGGTCTCACTTGTGGTGAATTTTTCATTGGTTGTCATATCGAGAGGCGGAACACGATTGCAAAATCCGTATTTCATTACAAAAATGTACTATTTTAAACCTGTTTAAGTATCCTATTCGTGAAAAGAACACTACGTATATTAAGAAAAATAAAATCTCAAAATATAAGCTGATTGCAAAAATAAAGCGTATTTGGGATCACCGAGCAATATTTTCGAAATATCCGATTTTCCGATTTTTAAACTTCACGATTTCTTGATTTTTCGATTTTTTTATTTGCCTTTTCCTCAATTTTCGGCTTCTGGATTTTTCTGTGTTTTAGTTTTTGGAAATCTTCAATTTTTCGATTTTTCAGGTTTTTGATTTTTCCATTTTTCCAATTTGGCGAATTTTTGATTTTGTCATTTATCGGTCTACGACTTTTAGATTTATCTTTTTCAGTTTTTCCAATTCTTCAATTTTCCAATTTCTCAATTTTTAATTTCTCATTTTTCACTTCTTCAACTTCTCAATTTTTGGCATTTCCAAATTTTCGATTTCTTGGTTTTTCGATTTCTTCACAGTTTTCGGTTTTTCGATTTTTCTACTTTTTGAATTCTCGATTTTTCAATGCTTAAATTTTTCTATTTTTCAATTTTTGGCGTTTCTAAATATTCAATTTTTGGGGCGAGTGGGCGGGGTTTTGTATTTTGTATTTTTTTAATTAATTTTTTGTAATAAATTTATTTTCTAGTAAATTTGTTGAAAAATGTGGGGGACAAAATTTATCATTTTAAACATGTTTTCGGTTTCTTGTTGTACAAAGAATGTATATTAAGAAGAAAAATAAGAAGGCAAAACATAAGCCCCGCCCACCCGCCCTGTCTCAATCGTGACGATTGTTTTTATTCGTCGTGAGCCGGGGGGCAAAGCTTAACTGCAAAATTCTTGTTAAGTAATCAAAGAAAACTATATGCATTAAGTAAAAATTAAAGACAAAAATTAAACCCCGCCCACCCGCCCTGGTCTCACTTGTGGTGAATTTTTCATTGGTTGTCAGATCGACGGGCGGAGCACAATTGCAAAGTCCGTATTTCTTTACAAAATTGTACTATTTTAAACCTGTTTGAGTATCCTATTTGTGAAAAGAAGACTACGTACATTAAAAAAAATAAAATCTCAAAATATAAGCTGATTCCAAAAATACAGCGTATTTGGGATCACCGAGCAACATTTTCGAAATATCCGATTTTCCGATTTTTAAACTTCCCGATTTCTTGATTTTTCGATTTTTTGATTTGCCTTTTTCTCAATTTTTCGACTTCTCGGTTTTTCTGTTTTTTAGTTTTTGGAAATCTTCAATTTTTCGATTTTTCAGGTTTTTGATTTTTCCATTTTTCCAATTTGGCGAATTTTTGATTTTGTCATTTATCGGTCTACGACTTTTAGATTTCTCTTTTTCAGTTTTTCCAATTCTTCCATTTTCCAATTTCTCTATTTTTTATTTTCTCAATTTTTCACTTCTTCAATTTTTCAATTTTTGGCATTTCTAAATTTTCGATTTTTTGGTTTTTCGATTTCTCCACAGTTTTCGGTTTTTCGATTTTTCTAGTTTTTGAATTCTCAATTTTTCAATTTTTTGGTCTTTTAAATTTCAGATTTTTCGATTTCTCGATTTTTCAATGATTAAATTTTTCTATTTCTCAATTTTTGGCGTTTCTAAATTTTCAATTTTTAGGGCGGGTGGGCGGGGTTTTGTATTTTGTATTTTTTTAATTAATTTTTTGTAATAAATTTATTTTCTAGTAAATTTGTTGAAAAATGTGGGGGACAAAATTTATCATTTTAAACATGTTTTCAGTTTCTTGTTGTGAAAAGGCAAAATATAAGCCCCGCCCACTCGCCCTGGTCTCACTTGTGGTGAATTTTTCATTGGTTGTGAGATCGAGAGGCGGAGCACAATTGCAAAATCCGTATCTCATTACAAAAGTTTACTTTTTTAAACCTGTTTTAAGTTTTTTATTTGTGCAAAGAAGACAACGTATATTAAGAAAAATTTCAAAATATTAGCTGATTTCAAAACTCTAGCCTGTTTGGGATCACGCAGCAATAATTTCGAAATATACGGTGTGAAATTCGAATTTTTTGAAATTTTTAAAAACTGCGTTGTTTCAATGGGCGATTCTGAAAAAACGATTGGAGTTATCGAAAAAATGAGGACGGAAGTGACGTCTTTGGCCTAAAATCTAGAAGAAAATGTATTCAGATAAATTTCAAAAATCGTCGAAAATGGGTCAAAATTTGCACATAATGAAGAATTTTATTTTTGAAAAAGTCGTTTAAAAATTCTCAAAAAATTATATAGTCGAAAATAATTGATATAGGTATAAGCTATTTTTGCTAATTAAAACACCATTCTGCTTTATCCTTGTTTTTTTTTCCTTAATATATACAGGTTTCTTTCAACAACAACATCCTAGTTAAAAACATGTTTCAGATGAAGTTCTTATTAAGAAATAAGTATTCTGCAGTTAAACTCCGCCCTCTGGCTCACAACGAATAAGAAAAATTATTTACAATTAAGATGGCGGTGGGTGGGCGGGGCTTAAATTTTGTTGTTTTTTCTGAATAGTTGTATTCTTCTTTCCGCGATGACATATTTAAAACGTAAAAATGGTAAATTTTGGCGGGAAACAGGGATTTTACACTTAAGCTCCGCCCCTTGGTCCGACAACGAATGCCAATTGTATCACATTTGAGGTTGGGGTGGGTGGGTGGGTGGGTTTTATTTTTTGTCTTTTTTTTTCTTGACATATATACTTGTCTTTCATGAAAACATGTTTCACATGGTAGATTGTTGTAGCGTAATAAGCATTTTGCAATTAAGCTCCGCCCCTTGGTCCACACAACGAATGCCAAATTAATTACATTTGAGGTTGGGGCGGGTGGGTGGGGCTTATTTTTTGCCATATACACTTTTTTTTCAAGAACATGATACATAAATGTTTCACATGGTACATTCTTGTCGAGAAATAAGCATTTTGCAATTAAGCTCCGCCCTTCAGCTCACGACGAATAAAACAAGTCGTCACAATTGAGACGAGGGTGGGTGGGCGGGGCTTGTATTTTGCGTTTTTTTAAGACATGCACGTAGTTTTCTTTTCTAGTAAATTTGTAAAACCATGTGGGGGACAAAATTTACCATTTTGGACATGTTTTCGTTTTCTATTACTGGTTCTTTTAGTTAAGATAAATGTGAAATAAAACAGCTACAAATAGGAAATTACGACTTTATAAACCACAATTACAAAAATTTGCAAAAATTATAGGTCAATGCTTATCGTTACATTTATTGTATTGCCAGTTATAAAAGGTTTAATTTGGTCGTGGGGAAGATAAGAATTAGAAAAACCCAATAATTGCCGATTTTGTACATACATTTGTTGAAAACTCAGACTGTTAGAAATTTTCTTCGCATTATACAATTTAAATTCACATTTAAAAGTACACTGGGGCTGGCCTAGTAATTCTACTACCCAGAAGTGTTTAAATAATTTCATAGTAAAACTATACTTAAACAGACGATTGAATGCATAAATTACACCACACTGTTCGAATTTCGAATTAGCCAGAAACGAAAAATTTACAGATCTGCCTGTGGGTGTACTTAGTAGATGATTATGTTCAGCTCGTAGATGTGACAACAGGTCATTTTGAACTCCTTTCCATTCACACTTAGCGACCGCACGCAAAGGACAGTCATAGGCTAAATATACACAGGATTTTAAGTGATTTTTCATCACATCAGCTTTAGACGTAAAGGTGCAACCATATTTCCGATATTTGCAAGGATAATCCAACTTGTTGGCCACATTGTCAACGCTAAAGGATCTCATCCCCTCATCCGACATCCCCTTTGCCAAAATTTTCTCCCTACACTCAAAACACCTGATCACATTTCCAGAAAACTGGTACACCGGAGGCAACGCAAACTCCAAACAGTCTGAGCATTTCAGTACTGACAACATCTCGTCATTCATCCTGCTGGAAACCGAACTGGTTTGACTCTCCAAAACCGCAACTCTTTGAACAGCATCGTCGTTCACTTCGAAAACAACATCCCCAGACTTGTTTTCTCTAAAACTATAGGCGTCACACTCAATTTGGAAGTTTCTGTCTCCACTCGTAAACGTTATCTGGCAGAAGTACTTCAAACTTCTGTCGCCGCTGTGGCTCACCGAAAAAGTCACCAGTTTCTGACTAGAATCATATTTTCTTCGTATCACTAGCACGACTTTGGAGTTCTGTTCGAGAAGACTTTCGTTTTCGTGCGATTTGGCCAGGTCTAAGTCGAACTCTGAATGGTCTAGAAACATGTTTGGGTGGTTAGAGCGGCAGTGTTGGAGGAGTTGCGAAAAGTGGCCTTTCCAGCTGCAATGGACCGACGTGAGTGGACATGGCGTTTTGCAAGGACAGGTGTCTTCGTGCTGGGGTATATCCAGAGGGAACAGCTTCGTTCTACAACCGTCTTCTTCGTAAATGCAGGGAAATTTTAGCCCCAGGCAGGCTTTTTCGTAGACTGTGTTGCGAAAATGGGGTTGGTTCGGAGGCGGCAAGCATCGGCCACAAATGTTGTCGGAATTTTCCAAAAGACGTATTGGGAAATACGACAGGTAGTTGGAGCAAGTGGCACATCTCAGGGATTTTTTTGAACTTTCGGTGAATAAATCCAAGTCCATTGTTCATGCACTCAGTTGTCACACTTTTTTCGAAAACACTTATAACTCATTTGGGGAATGATGTGAGCTAGGTACCGCAGTACTATCAGATAAGCGTTATCATTTGCTGTTATAAATATGTTTACCAGTGGATTAGAGATTTTTCTTATCATTTAGAATACGTTATAAAAATAGGTACTTCACCGAAAACTCGACTACTGTTATGTTTTCTTGACCCCCCCAAAAACGAAAACGTAGGTCTCTCGTTTTATTTTTATTAAAATAAAGTTTAAACAGACAATTCTAACTCTGATTATTTTCGACTTGCGTAAAACGGCAACCGGTCCTTCCTCTTCTGCACCATTTTTCCCAGGCTCTCACTCTTTATACCTCTAAAACCCATCTGCCCTTTAGTTGAGTCCGACCTGGTACTTGGAAATACATTTCGAAGTGGTAGCGCCTTAATATCGTCTTTCACTATTTTCGGATTACTAGACTTCATCACAAAGAGTTTCCCGCTAATCTTCGACGCCTTACCCTTCTGAGTAACCAACGAATCCAGAAAAATCTCGGTAACACCCACTTTGGTGTTACCTTTAACCCCCAGCTCAGCGCTACCACAGGTCAAATGAACTCTGTACAGCCACACTGTATCTTCCCCACATTCCGAAGGTGTTACAGAAATCTGGAAAAGATTATCCTGCACTCGAAATTTCCTCCTGACGATAAAAAGTTGATTTCTGTGTTCTAGAAGACCGTCGTGTTTATGGTACCACCCTAGAGGAATTTCAAATAGGCCCTTCTCCAAAAATAAGCCGCCATGTTTGAGATGGCAGTGTGTTATCAGGTTGCGATAACATACCTTATTGTTACAATCGGTAAAATCTTGGGTGGGGCACTTGAGCTCTTTGAAGGTGCATTGAAGTTCGTGCTGTGGAATTTCTGCAGGAAATTTATTTGCAGGACAACCTTGGCCAGCATAACGGCATGGAAATTGTATCTGTAGGGAGAGTAGCTCGTAGAGTTGGTTTCTGATGACGGTTTCTGAGGGGGTGGGGCATCTTCCGCAGATGTTTTGGCTCTTGAGGGTGGTGTGAATTGGAAAGTAGGATAAGAAGTTTCCGCAGTTGGCACACTTTAGTTTTTCGACCCAGGCGCGGGCCTGCGCTGTGACGAATTCCATGTGGGAAGACTAGAGAAAAAAATTGAAGTGTGAGATAGCGAACTCTTGAGATGATATTTCTTACAGTAAGTTGGCCCATGTCTTGCACGCTTGGAACACTAAGGAAAAATGGTAGATATACGATTACTGATTTTGGTAGAGTATGTCAATGTTTAATTTCTGGGAACACATCAAAATTTGTAGATAGGGAATCCCCTATCGGAGATGATAACGATAAATTGTGTAAAGTATTTCTTGAGTGAATTCTGTATCCTTATATTTGCTCAAGTTCAGAATATATGCGTCCGGGATAAAGAGATAAATTCTGATTAGCAACAGAAAATCATGACTTCCTGTTATATTTGTTCAAAGTAAAAATTAAACAGTTGTCTACTGGACAATTCAAACTTTTATTATTTTTGATTGCGATCGTAAAACAGCGAGCGGTACTTGTTCCTCTCCATGGCCATTTTCCCCAGGTTTCCACGCTCCGGACTTCTCGAACTCATCGACCCTTCACCTACCCTCGAGCTGGTGCTTGGAAATCCCCTTGCCAGAAACACATTCCTCTCGTCCTTTACCGCCTCGGGACCACTGGCCTTCCTCATCAAAAACACCCTCCCGGTAATCTTCGACGCCTTCCCCTTCTGGCTGATCAACGAATTCAAAAAAATCTTCTCAACACCCACTTTAGTGTTACCTTTAACCGCCATCTCAGCGGTACCACACGACAAACGCACTTTGTACGGCCACACTGCATGATCGCTACGTTCGGAAAGTGTTACAGAAATGTGGAAAAGACTATCCTCCACTCGAAACTTCTTCCTGACGATAAAAAGTTGGTTGTTGTGTTCTAGAAGGTGGTAGGAGTTCTGGGACCACGTCAGGTAAATTTCGAATTGGCCGTTCTTCAGAAACAAGTCGCCATGTTTAAGTTGGCAGTGCGTTATGAAGTCCCAATAAGATACCTTGGCTTTACAACTGGTGAAATCGTGGGTGGGGCACTTGAGGTCTTTGAAAGTGCACTGATTTTCGTGGTGTGGGGTGCCTTCAGGAGACAATTTAGTAAAGCAGCCTTCGCTCATGTAACGGCACGGAAATCTTATCTGCTGGGAGACCAGCTCGTAGATCTCGTTTCTGATGGTGTTTTCTGGGGGAGTGCGGCATCTTCCGCAGATGTTTTTGTTGCTGAAGGTGGTGTGGATTGGAAAGTACGACAGGTAGTTTCCGCAGCTCGCACATTTTAGTTTTTCGATCCAGTCGTCGGTTTGTACAGCGACGAAATCCATTTTTTCGCTAGTTCGAAAAAAAAAATGGAAATAGGAAATAATGGACTTTTGAATACGTGAAACTTGGACTCACCAATGTTATGCACACTTGGAACGCTAATCGAAAATAGTGGATTTCGATTATTTAATTTAGATAAAGCAACAAAGTACGTCAAAGGTTTCCCAGAAATCTAAATTTTTAGGTGGGGTATTCCCCTGTCGAGTGTGCAGATGATAACGATAAAAATATGAAATATTTGGTTTATCGCACAATTTCGTTACTTTTTAATTTTCCTCAAATTCCGAGAATTATATCTTAGAGATGCGTTGTAGTCGAGTCTCTACTTTTACATTTTCTCGACCTTTCATGACCCCTAGAGTACGAAGAAATAGGTCTCCCTTTTCCGTCTGTCTGCCTGTCCGTCTGTCTGTCTGTCTACCGTCACGGAATGCTTTAACATCTCGAAGATGTTTTTTAATATATTTACTTATCCCCCCTAAAAAATTGATGACCTCACTTCAAAATATTGTTGAACACATCCTATCTTAAATGTGAAGATTTATCACTGCATTAAAATTTTTTTGATTTGTTTATACAGGGAGTCTCAAAAAAAATAATGTCAGAGTCAGTTTATTTTATTGATTAAATCAAGAATTGCAAAACTGAATACTTTGAAATCCTGCAGACGTTTTAAATTTATTGTAAGCATGCTAAATTGTTAGTCAAAATACATTTATTTATAATTTTAAAAAATGAGAGAACGGGTGGGTGGGCGGGGATAAGTTTAACCCCGCCCACCCACCCGCCCTTCTTTCCAGTGATTACTCTTAATATTGTTCAATTGTTATCTAAGCAAGTACAAGCCCCTCCTTTATTCAATCTTATCTTAGCAGATACTAGCCCCGCCCATACATAGCTAGTACTACACTCCACCAATCCGAGTTCATACGTGTCCTTGCAATTGTTTCATTGTAATTTCGGTACGAGGGAAATTCTGTCGAAACAATTTTGGACCAATTATGACCAAATATGAAAAAATATTTTGCATATAATAGTATGTGGCGGTATATTCTACAGCATATTTTTGTTTTTACTGTATATAAATGCATATTTCCTGCATAATTTCCATTTTTTATTTTTATTTTACTATATTGTAAACACGAGTCATATTTCAATGATCTTTCAGTATATAGTAATCGACATACATATGCCTCCTAAAATGTGCAGGGATTTGAATATACCGGGTGTTTGGAAAATGGCGGATTAACTCGTCAGTACGTTATATACGGGGGTTTCAGGAGTCCCAAAAGCATAAAAAAAATTCTTTACGACGTAGATTACGAAAAACAACGTAATTTTATAAAAGTAAAATTGGCAATACTGCACTCACCCGATGTGTGAATACCTCCGGCGTACCATCCACTTTTTATTTTTTTTTAGGACAATAATTATAATCACCAGGAGTCATTAATCGTTGTGCATTATTATCAATAAAACAAGCTTTTTTTGAGTAATAAATAAACCAAAAAACATTTAATAACACATTTATAAATTATAAACAAAAACAAAAACAACAAAAGAAAAATCCATTAAAGCATAACCAACTATACACAAGAGATGTTCAAAATTCTTGCCTTGTGCTTAAGTTCGTAATGTTTCTAAATTTTGATCATGTTTTCTAAAAGTTCTGATTTTGGCAAATGACATACGCTCTAATAAAAGAAAGGGTGGGTGGGCGGGGCTAGTACCTGCTAAGATAAAACTGATTTTGGCAGATGAGATACCTTTTAAGAAAAGAGAGAGTGGGTGGGTGTCTGGGTCTAGTAGTAAAGACTTTAGCAAATGACGTATCCTGTAAGAAATTTAATTAAATGTTTATAAGAAAAGACACTAGAGGCTCCAAAGCACTTTCAAATGCTCTCTACATAGGAAGTCCCGGAAAATTGTTTTAAATAATTTAAAAAAAAAATCTCCAGGGGCTCCCAAAATAAGACACCATTGGTACCCAAACACTGCGGCATTCAAAACATTTTCAGATGCGTAAAAAGTAAAACACTAAGGGCTCAAAAGATTTTTTCAAGTGCATCCAGCAACAAAACACCAGATTGCTTTAAATTTAAACACCAAGGAACTAAAATTAACGGCGAACATTGTAAACGTAGGATTTTGAAAACTTTGACAAGTTTTTATAGGTCAAACATTTTTAAGTCCCTACACGATTTTTGCTGATTTGTACCTTCGCTTTATATCAGGCTAGAGAAACATTAACTATGTATTATTATTTGCCTTACAGGCTTAATAAGATTCCCAGTAGGGGTACAAATGAACTTAATCTACATAATACAAATAAATCAATAAAAATCAATAAAAAACTAAATATTCGAGTTTTATATAATAATAATTGTTCTATTCTTTCTGCTTGCCTTAGTTCCCTTATTTTCCATACTTTTTTCATCCAGTCCAATCCTCTTCCATCCTCGTTTAGCACTTCTTCTCTGCTTTCCTCCGATTCTCTCAATCCTTCACATCCTTCCAGCATATGCTCTATTGTTTCTCCCTCTCTCCAACATATCCTATACATTCTGTCAGTTTCATCCATCCAAAAATTATTCTCTTTCTCTTCATTTCCACACCTAAATCTCGCCATCATTCTTTTCTCCTTTATACTCTCTATCTCTGTGTATTTTGGTACTTCATCCTTTACTATTTTTCTATACTCTGCATTATATCTAGGCTCCGATATTCTCGATCTGCGTTCTTGCTTATCTATATCCCTCTCTCTTAGACTCAGTTGTTCTTTCATACTCCTTCCCATTTCTCTAATTCTCTCTATTTCTTCACATGCATACCCCTTTTCTTCATAATAGTTGTCTCTTTCATTCCAAACATGTTTTCCCCCTTCCTTTCTTATTTCTTTCCAACATTCTTGCAATATTTTACAATCACCTATCTCACTAAACTTATTTTCAAATCCAACCGTCCTTTTATCCGCTTCCACTCTCATTTTCTCCCTTTTTGTTTCTTCTCTCACTATATACCCCGGCGTATACTTTTCCAATCTCAATGTCCATTTTAAGTATTTTTCTTGCACTCTCTCTATTTCTTCATATTTTCTCCATCAGCTCCGTACATAAATACACTTTTGATCAAACTATCAAACATCATCATTCTTTTCTTATAATCATGTCCAAATTTTCTTTCTCCTATTCCCCATACTATTCCTATCACTTTGTTCGCTTTTCGGACCATTTCTTGAATTGAGTTATTGCTCTTTGATGTATATCCTAAGTACTGGAATTCTTTCACCTGTTCAATCGTCTTCCCTCTCCATGCCCACTCTTCCTTCTCCTTTCTTACTTTCTTCCCAAACACCACCATTTTTATTTTTTCCACAGTCACCTCCAATTCCTTTTTTTGTATGTACTTCTCGAAATTTTTAATCATTGTTTTCATTTCTTCTCTTTTCTTTGTTATAATCACCAAATCATCTGCGTACGCCAACAACCACACTTTCTCTTTGTCCACTACCACCCTTCCTGTCTGTGCTTTTCTGAACATTTCATCTATATCTCCTAGATAAGGTGCAAACAATACGGGGCTGAGTGGGCATCCCTCTCTCACTCCTCTATTTGTATGAAAACTCTCGCTCTCTATTCCATTCACTCTCACTTAACTTACGGTTTCTTCATATACTTCTTCCATTTTCGTTACCAGGTACGCATCTACTCCTCAAATACTCCCACATTTTCTCTCCATTCACGCTATCAAACGCTGCTTTGAAATCTATGAACAATGCGTACATTCGTCCACCCTCTTTCCTTGTTTCTCTTCCCACTAAATGCCGCAGGATGTACATATTGTCGATAGTACCTCTTCCTTTCCTAAATCCTGCCTGACCGTCTGGTAACATACCCCATTGCGTATATCTGGTACACCGTATTGAGCAATGTGATCCCTCGGTACTTGTGCACATCACTTTTTTGCCCCTTTTTAAATAATGGGATTATTATACCTTCCCTCCACTGCCGAGGAAATCCTTTTCCCTTCCAAACTCCATCTACCACTTCCCGTATCCTTTCTTTCACTCCTTCTGTCCCGAACATCCACGCTTCGTTGTGGATTCCATCGCCTCCTGTGCCTTTCCTCTTTTCAGTCTTTCAATCTGTCTTCCTGTTTCATGTTCTGCTATTTCCGAACCTCTCCACATTTCTTCCGTCGTTGTGATTCCTTTATTTATTTTGCAGCATTTTTCCTAACAACCTCCCAATAATTCCATAAAGTGCCTTTTCCATTTAGGTATTTAGATTTTCGTACCGACTTCAGTCTTCCTTCTCCGTTCCTTGTTTATGTATCTCCATACTTCTTCTTCTGTTTTCAAGGACTTCATTGTTTCTCTTCTTCTTTTCGTTTTTCTCTTTTTCTTTCTTCACATTTTCTCCTATAATTCTCTCTTGCTTTTAAGTACTCTTCTTTCGTTCTCCTGTTATTCTTCCATTTTCTTAATTTTTCCCTTGCTTTTCTCTTCAACTCACTCCATTCTCATAGCTTCTATGTCTTCTTTTACTTCGAATTTCTTTCTTTCTAGTCTGCTTCTGTATCTTTGAATTCCCTCTTCATCCCATATTCTTATTTCTATTTCTTTTCTTTCGTTTCTTCTCTCTTGTTTTTCGTACCCTAGCTCTACTTTTATTACACGTTATTGGGTTAATGAATGTGTTGTTTAGTTGTATTTTTTTTTATTATTTTTCCCAGAATCACTTTTTTTATATTTTTTGTCTAATTTTCCTGAGATTTCATAGAAAAAACACTAATTCATGTTTTGCCTTTTTTTCCTCAATATACGCAATCGTCCTTTTTTACACAACAAGAAACAAATGAAAAGGTCATCACACTTAAGATAGGGTGGGTGGGCGGGGCTTATATTGTGTCCTTTTTCTTAATTTCCTTGGCTTTTTTTTACTCAATTCACATAGATTTCTTTGAACAAAACGATTGCTTAAGAACATATTTCACATGTTAATTTTTTGTAAACAATAAGGATTTTGCAATTAAGCTCCGCCTCAGGACTCACGACGAATGAAAATAGTCATCACAATTGAGATAGGGTGGGTGGGCGGGGCTTATACAGGGTGAGTGTTATAATAACGGGATGTATTAAGCCCCTGAAACTTTATCACAAACAGTTATTTGCATTACGAAAAATAAATATTTTTTATATTATATACCGACGTTCTCGCGCCAAGATGGCTTGCGCCAAAGTGTCCCTGCGCCAAGTTGGCTTTGCGCCAAAATGGCTCGCGCCAAGTCGGCCGCGCCAAATAGTCCCATTCCGTGTATGCTTATATTTGTTCAAGTTCAGAATATATGCGTCCGGGATAAAGAGAGAAATTCTGATTAGCAACAGAAAATCATGACTTCCTGTTACATTTATTCAAAGTAAAAATTAAACA